ACTAGCAGATGGTTGTGATCCAGAAAATCAGGAGAGGCCTTGAGAGCCACATTGAGACTTTATCCCATGGCAGAGGGCCATCATAGAAAGTAAACGCTGCTGCTTAGTGGACATGCATTTCTTTGGGGGGAGTGATGCAAATGTTCTGAAATTAGAGTGGGGATGGCTGCATACACTGAATGCACTAAAAGCCACTGGATTATGTACTTCAAAAGGTGAGTTTTAACTCAATCATAAAAGCTAACTGACAAAACTCCAGGACCAGCTAACTTCCATCATGTCATGCCTTCTGGTCATCGCTGGCTCATTCCATCCCTCTGAGGGAGCTTTTGATTCCAAGCAAGATAGAGCAATAGGGGCCAGATTTACCCTCTTACATGAGAAACAGGTCAAACTGTATGAAACAGTGGCTTCCAGAGCATGGACCTCAGGCACAAAGGAAAGGAGCCTGGAGGATCAGATGGGGTGAGCCTGATGACTGTCCTCACTTGCTTTGACAGTTTCCAGGATGCAGAGGAGAACCCAGGCAGAGCTCAGAGGACCCTGAGTTGAAAAGACAGAGTAGAGTCAAAGGAGACCTGGGGGAGGCCCAAGGCAGCTGGGGTTTGCAGGGTGGAGCTCTGGAGAGGAGAGAACCGCAGAAAGAGAACCTAGAAATCTTGGTGTCTCCAACTAGTATTCAGAAGCACTGATGCACACGTCTGAGAACAGCTAAAAGGGTTAGAGGGAAGAATGCCTGCAGCTCCCACCAGCCAGCCTGGAAAACCTCAAAACCCAGGAACCGTGGGAAGAGTCTGAAAGTCTTACTCTCAGTAGGAAGGAGAAACTGGCCCTAGGCTAAAGGCCACAGTGGTCTTGCCTAACCACCTTAAAGACAAAACTCAAGTGATCTCCAAGGAATTTAAGCATATTCCAGAATAAAGTTTAAGGATATTGGTAGAAGTGATGGTCTGAAACCGAGTGACAGTAGAGCCAGGAGAATGGGGCTTTTTGAAATACTTAAGAGACAGAATTGTCAAGACAGCTGATGACCAGCAGTGTGGGGTGAAGATGACCAGATGAGACAAGCAGGTAGTTCTCCACTCAAGGGAAGTCAGGGGGCAACAATCACCTCCTCAGGTGGAACCAGGGACAGGCAGGAAAATCTGAGCAACAAGTGCAATTCAGGAGGCAGCAGTCATGAAGCAGACACGCGTGTCCTGCAGAGCACTGAGCCACAGTAGGAACTGGAAGCCTGGGGCAGTTGGCTTCTGGGGACAGGGAGTGTGGAACAAGACAATGCCGAAGTGCCAGCCAGGGCCAGGAGAGAAGTTCAGAGTTTATCCAAGGCACAGTGAAAATCTACTGGAAACCCTTAAGCAGGAGGCTGATGACTACATTTGGACTTTAAGATGTCAGCGTGATCCACTGTGGAGACTGAATGGACAGGAAGGGGCAAGGCAGACATGCAGATAACCAGTTAAAAGGCTTTGGTCATCACAAAAGGTGACAACTTGCATGTGAGTGGAAAGAAGCAAACAAGCTAGAAATGCAGACTACAAGGCCTGGATGTAGAATGTCTGTGCAGAGAAGGGGGTGACCAGCATAGCTCTCAGGTTTGTAACAGGAGTAAATGCCACTTAGTGAGGCAGAGAAGGTTAGCACAGGGCAGAGTAGGCAGGGGAGGAGAGCTCCATTTCACAAAATAGACTTGAGGTCATGAGTGAACGAGAGGAGTCTTGGTGTTTGGGGCAGATTGGGTTAGATGTACAAGTGTGGGATCCTCAGCACACAGGGAGAGATGGTGGAGTGTGAAAAAATACATGTAAGACTGGACTTTTACACTCCAATGTGTATGCAACAGGAAAGTCTATAGCAAGAGGATGAGGGAAGAGGAAAATGTTCAGTGGTGCAGTAGAGATTAGAGGGTGCAACCGGAAGTGTGAGGGTGTAACTGGTGGAGGGGCCTGGCCTCTGACGGGAGGGAAACCTCTGACACACGCAACAGGAAGTCTATGAGAAACAGTAGGCAGAGGAGGGCTTTCCCAGGAGATGCTGTACTCTACTGAGGAGGTACAGAATCCAAGAGGCAGGAGTGGGAGGGATAAAGGCATTAGTCTGAAAACTGAAGGTATAACAGATTCCATCTCACTGCAGAAAGAATGGCTGTAATAAAGAAAGCAACCAGTAACAAATGCTGGCGGAGCTGTGAGGAAAAAAGGAACCCTACTCCACTGCTGGTGGGAGTGTAGACTGGTGCAACCACTGTGGAAATCAGTATGGAGATACCTCAAAAACTGAAACTAGAGGTTCCATTTGACCCAGCTATTCCCCCTTCATGGTACCTTCCCCAAAGAGTTAAAAGAATCATACCACAGCAATATATATACACACACCCATGTTTATAACAGCACAATTTATAATAGCTAAATCTTGGAAACAGCCCACATGTCCATCAATGAATGAATGAAGTGGTTTTTATATACAATGGAGTACTAGTACTACTCTGCCATAAAGGATAAACTTGAGACATTTCTAGGTAAATGGATGCAATCTTGAGACCATTCTTTTAAGTCAAATAAATGAGACACTTTTAAATATCATATTGTTTCTCTTGTGTGAGAAACCAAAACGGTAAATAAGGACCCAAATGGAGGACAGATATTGGGAAGAAAATGTTCAAATGGGAAGGGAGAGCAAGGGAGGGAAAAGAAAAGGAAGGGAAAAGGAAAAAATGGAAACAAAGCTTTTGTAAATAAGGAGAGGAAGAAGGGTTGAAGGGAGGGGAATGAAGGAAAAAGATCAATATATATTATGTACAGGTATAAATTCCCTCTGATGAATGTATTATATATATATCAAAAGTATACCAAGGAAATTAATTTTTTAAAATACTGAAGGTATAAAACTGTCTCAATATTTCAGTGGGTACCAAAAATCCACAAGGTAAAAACTGCACACATTCATGGAGGAGCATCTGCTTAATGTTCTCAGTGAAAAGTCTCAACACACATTATTATCTAACAGCAGATGAAAAGTTGAGGACAGAATTAATTGGTGAGGTACTGACTAGTTCCTTTGCTCCCAACCGCCGAGACAATTTTCTGAAGTTTCTAAGTTTGAATCGTACAGTATGAAAGCCATTGAGCATAACACTTCACTTTCCACAGTGGCCCCGTGATACCCCAGGATGCTGACCTAATACTCTCCTCTAAAGCCAAGGCCCCAGCAGTCTCGCTGTATTCTCTAAGTCTGCTACCAATTCCAGAAATGCAGATTGATTCCATTACATTTCTAGGTAAAAAGGGAAGTACAAGGTCCTGAGTTCGATCCCCGGTACCAAAAAAAAGAAAAAAAAAAGGTAAAATGAGGTTTTGGTGGCTGTCGCTATTCCTAGTATTTCATACCTAGTATCTTTCTGGTTCTTCCAATGACAATGGCAAAGAAAGGGTTGGCATTCGAAGCTGACTATAGTCACTACAAATTTTTCAGGAATGGTACCTCTTCCATAACTATCAAGCAAGGACCAAATTCAACCAACTACATGGCTCAAACAAGTAAAGTGAATTAAGCTAAATCTGAAAAGAGACAAAGAGCAAAAGAAACTCCTCTCTCCCCTAAGGCCACATGAAGTATGGGCCATAGGACAGGAAGGCCACACTCTACTAAAAGGCAGCAGTCAGCACTCCACTGCAGCCCAAGGATGAACAACAGAGACCACTGCCAGGTCTGCTTATCTAACATGCTCTAAACCACAAATAGGTGAAACAATGGAATTTTAGATAGTAGAAATGAAGTTTTAAAAACTAACCTTTTCCCCCTATCCAAACAAAATCTCCAGACAGCTATTTACAACCTAATGTAGCTTCTCTTGCTTTTAGTTTCTTGCTTTATCACTAATTTTATAGGTCATGTAGCTAAGTACTATACCCCGTCAGCTTCAATGCAGGGAGTGCTCACCTATGGGTTAAGGTGCTTTTCAGAAACCCGGAGGCTGCTCGTGTCTACCTCAAACCCACTGAAACCACAGCCCCTCACCTGAGCATGCACCAGCGGCAAGTGACAGAGCACCTGGTGACTTCAGAGAACTGAAAACTCCACCCTCAGCGCATGCTAATCCTGCCATTTTTCTGAACACACATCCTGTGAACCATGAAGTTCACAATACCAACTGCTTCACTTTCCCTGCCCAAATCACCTCTGCCCACACCTCGACAAGCCCATGTCTGCACCCCATAAATACCCTTATTCTCTGACGGGAAGAAATGCATTTGATGTTTGAGGCTCCCATCTCCTCAGGACTGGCACCTTGTGAATAAACTCTTCTGCAAAATACATCAATTCAGTGATAAGCATACTGTGCAGGGGCCAAATGGGGCTCGTTCAGTAGCAAACACACCGGCACTATCATTTCCTAGCTCTTTGTGCCTTAGGCAGATCAGTGAGCTGCTGAGTCTCATTGTCCTCATCTGAAAAATAGTCACAGACACTGAACACAGTAATGCTTATGAGATACTAATGTCGAACACTGGATAAACCACTAAACACATTTCCTAAAGGCAGCAGAGAGGGGTCAGTAAATTATCTGCAGGGATCTTTAAAGACCTAAGTGAAGATCTCAGAGAGGCTGAGTTCTCAGAAGATTTAGAGCCTTTCAAATTCTGATTACTGAATACTATTAAAGTCATTAGGAATTAAACAGAACCAGCAATAAAAAATGCCTCACAATAAATACTTACTGAGCTGCAAGCAGCTCTTCTAATTAAGAGATCTCATAGCTGTCACTAGTTAATGGCTGCAAAAAGACAGTAAGACACAGAAAAGGGTAAACTTTTCAGGGCAAACAGTGGCAGCTTCCAAAAGCTGTTAAAACAAACCATGGGGTTTTTTAAGGTAAGTTTTTACAAATTAGACAAATCTGTATTGTCAGATTACAGACTCTGATCTGTTAAATATTTCAGCTAATTTTCATAGTGTTTTAAGTAAATTCCAAGGAACCCCAACCACAATATTAAGAAGAGTCTGTTAAACACAGAAATGCTTTATTTATATAAACACACACAAACTATAAAGCACTAAGAAATTTAAATATCCATGTCATAACAAGCAGGTGGCAATTCAACATCCAGGATGGAAAGAATGCTTGGAGGAGACTGCAAGAGATCTGGAAAAGAGAAACATCTTAATACATTTCTGCAAAGCCTGAGTCATTGTCCATATCGATCCAGTCATTAGCTTTTAACCATCAGTTCATGTTTTTTCTCTATCTAATGAATCTCTACCCTCAACCCCTCCTCACACTTCTGGAAATGCACTTGTGACCCCAGGATTGACCTTTAACCGGAATTAAGTCTTAGATGTACATGAACCTCTAGAGTAAGAGCTAACAGTCTCATTAACAATTACAAATACATGGGCCAGGGATTTAGCTCAGTGGCACCTCGCCTGACTTGCAAGCACAAGGTCCTGAGTTCGATCCTGGGTATCAGAAAAGAAAAAAAAAAACAATTACAAATACAAGTTATCAGAACAAACAGGAAGCACACTGATTTCTTGGGGTCTTTTTTGGGGGGTGGTGTTTTATTTGCAATACTAGGGATTGAATCCAGGGCTCTGCACTGAGCTAAATCCCCAGCCCTTTCATTGTCTGAGACAGGGTCATGCTAAGTGGCCCAGGCTAGCCTCAAACTTGCAATCCTCCTGCCTCAGCCTCTTGAGTAGCTGGGATTACAAGAGTGCTCCACCATGCCTAGCCAGTGATATCCTGAGCCTCTGCTAGCTGTGGATATACAGGAAGGTGGAGCTCTCCTTCTACACAAGCTGATGATACACTTCAACTTACAGCCTAAGAAGTCAGATGTTGAATTTAGTCTCTCTTTGCTATACTGTATTTAAGATTGACCAGATCTCAGAATTACTTCATTTTACCAGGGCTTTGGAACTAAAACACAGTACCAACCAGAGTTTTTATTCCCCTGATACTTCTTCCCCGTAGTTCCAAGGAAGAAATTCCTCCTAGGCCAACCTTGCCCTCAGCTCCGACCCCACAGTACCGAAGCACTATGAAGCAACTGTCTGCAGCCTTCACACGGCCGCTTGTCCTTACCAGCTCCCCAAGGGGAGGGCATCTTCACGGGTGAAGGGGGCCCCAGCCGCAGCAGCCTCTCCAGCCCTCTCTCCTCCTCGAGCACCATGAGAGGCACTCCGCTCAAGGGCAGCTGTGCAATCTGGTGCTCCTCCGGCAGATCGAAGCTCTCGAAATCTGCCACAGGGGAAAAGCGCCTTGTCAGGACAGCGGTTCTCAGCATGCTCAGCAGGTCTGAAACCCCTCGGAGAGTCCATGAGGTCAAAACCATCGCCTAACAACATGTTTTTGTAATACCCAGGGCCCTCACATTGAGCTACATCACTAATCCTTTAGTTTTTCTTTTTGAGACAGGATCTCATTAAGTCATAAGGTGTCCAGGCTGGGTTCAAACTTTCCATCCTCCTGCCTCAGCCTCCCCGAGTCCAGGGATTACAAGATGAGCCACCTCACCTGGCTTCCTAATAATTTCAATACCTTTTCACAAGTCTTGACATCAGCAATGATGATACAAAAACAATGGTGGAGGGGCTGGGGATTTAGCTCAGTGGTTCTGCCACCTCCCTTTTAAGCTCAAGGTCCCGAGTTCAATCCCCATTACCAAAAAAAAAAAAAAAGTGGAAGAGAATTGCTGGTGCCTTAACACAAATCAAGACAGGAGCAATGAACAGCATTAGTAATTATTTTACTCTTCACTATTCACTGGGAAAATACAAAATAAGTCAATAAATGCCAGTTCCAATGTCACTTTACCATACTCTGTTCAGAAGTAAACTCTGTGTGATAGAAGAAGTATGCCACAAACCAGAAAGCACACTTCTGCTGCTCAGCAAAGTATAATGATCATCTCAAAGAAAAAGGGGTTTGTGCAATTATCTGAGTTGCAAGCTATACTAGAGTCTGGGAACGCCACTTTCATTTGAAAGATAAACTATGGCCATGGGTATTTGTTACACTCATTCTCATAAGAAGGAAGGAAGTCTATCATTTCAAGGAAAACTGATTCTTTGTTGCCATGACAGAAACTGTCACAAAATAATGAGAATTGTGGAAAACTCAGCGATAATTTGACCTTAGTTTGGAAAACTTATCTTGCAATCATTAGCATAAACTTTTCTGATGAGATCATTGGTGATAATGATGGTGTTTTAGAAGTTACATAATGAAATGTTTCGTCATTCGAACATCTACATTTCCACTATTTCTAAGTGATCAACACATGATAAATAGAAGGATAAAAGATACCAGTCCAAATGCAGAATAGACCGAAGGATTTTACTATCAGAATACACAATGTTCATTCATATGATCTCAGATTCCACACTACAAATACGCTCATACTTAGCCACCTCTTGAGTTTTACTGTCACATCAAAGAAAACTATCAGAAAAGACTAATACACCCCCCATTCCTAACTACACGTCTGCATGAGGCCAGGTCGTCTTCTCTATTTGCTTCTCCCAAACCAAATGCAATACACAGAGCACAGATTTTTGACAAGAACCCGGTTGTCATACATTTGGTCAAATAAAGCAAATTTTCAAATATACCAGGGGTAATCAAAAGATAAGGCAAATGTTTATAGTATTTTTGAGCCAGGGATTTTTAGCTCAGTGGTTCTGCCCCTTCCCTCACAAGCACAAGATCCCAAGTTCAATCCCAGGTACCAAAAAAAAAATATTACCATTGAGATTTACTTAGCTGTATAATCGACAGTGGTAGCAAATATAGTATTTTTGAGATAGGTTCTCACTTTGTAGTTCAGACTGGCCTTGAACTCTCTATTGTAGCCCAACTTAAAAACTTATTACAGTAAGACATTGCCAAGAATGATGGGATAAGTGAGTTCAAAGCAAGGGGGAGTATTTTGAGTATTCTGAAGGAAATTGATAGCAACGTGTCTTTTACTATGATTTTTTAAATTTAAATGTTCATTTTTTTTAATTACATCTTGTAAACTACCCCATTCCTATCACTGATACTTTTGGTCCATAAAAGATATTTTATGTCAGAAAAAAATGTTATTTACATTGACATTGAGTTTACTATTTAATGAATTATATTTTTAGTATTTCTCAGATTTAATTTCTAATTCAGAAAATACAAACAGAAAAAACACAAGCAAAAATTCTTTGGGGTACAAACAAGCAACAAGTGGGATCTCTTCTTATTTAAAAAGCTTCTGCACAGCGAGAGAAACCACCAGTAGTGTGAGGAGACAACCCACAATGTGGGAAAAAATCTTCACCTGCTCTTCCTCAGACAAAGGTCTACTATCTCGCATCTATAAAGAACTTAAACAGATCAGACCTCCAAAATTTAAAGACCCAATCTGAAAATGGGCATCTGAAATGAACAGACATTTCTCAGACAAGGAAGTAGAAATAGCAAATAAATACATGAAAAAATGTTCAACATCACTGGTCATTCGAGAGATGCAAATGAAAACAATGCTGAGATTCCACCTCACTCCAGAAAGAATGGCTGCTATCATGAAATCAACCAATAACAAATGCTGGCGGGGCTGTGGGGAAAGAGAAACCCTGCTGCACTGCTGGTGGGAGTGTAGACTGGTGCAACCACTGTGGAAATCAGTATGGAGATATCTCAAAGAACTAAGACTGGAAATCCCATTTGACCCAGCTATTCCACTGCTGGGGATCTTCCCCAAGAATTAAAAGAATCATACCACAGTGATATATGTGCACCCATGTTCACAGCAGCACAATTTGTAATAGCTAAAAGTGGAAACAGCCCAAATGCCCATCAACTGGAGACTGGATAAAGAAAATGTGGGTTTTTTATTAAATGGAGTACTACTCAGCCATCAAAAATGAGAAATTAGAGACATCTATAGCTAAATGGATGCACATTGAGGTGATACTCTTAAGTGAAATAAATAGGACACACATGTATAAATACTGAATAGTTTCTCTGGTGTGAGAAACTGAAAGTGTAAATGGGGACTAAAATGTATGATAGGTAATGTGAAATAGGATTTAAAGGGGCAAAGGGGAAGGAAGTGGGAGGGGTAGGGGAAAAGAAAGAAGGGAATGGAATTAATATGAGAAAATGGAAAAATAGGAACAAAATCTTTGTAAATAGGGAGGAATGGAGGGGTTGAAGGGAAGGCTGGGCAAGGGTGAAAAATAAGAACCAAGAGAGATTATGTAAAGGTGCAAATTTCCAACAATGAATGTCATTATATTGTACACCTAAAATGTACCAATGATTAGAATGAATAATCAATAATGCAAAATAGGAAGAAAAGTTCCAAAGGGGTAGGGGTAGTGGGAGGGACAGGGGAAAGGAAAGAAGGGAAAGGAAAAATGATGAGAAATAGAAAAAACTGAAATAAAGTCTTTGTAAATAAGGAAGGGTGAAGGGGGTGAAGGAAGGGCTAGGAATGGGGAAAAAATAAGAACCAAAATGCATTATGTAAAGGTACAAGTTCCCAATGAGAAATGTAATTGTGTTGTATACCCACAATGTACCAATAAAAGAATTAAAAAAAAAAATTCTTTGGGGTCTTCAATAATTTTTTAAGAGTATAAAAGGGTCCCCAAAACTTTAAAAAATTGTAGAAACAATGCAATAAAATTAGAAACTTCTCAAAACACAAGTGCCTTACTTTTTAGTAATTATTTAAAACAACTGATTTTTCTTGACAGTAACAAAAACATGATTTAAATATATTGTTTTGAGCCAGGCATGGTGGCACATACCTGTAATCCCAGCACCCAGGAGGCTGAGGCAAAAGGATCACTATGAATTCGAGGCTAGCCTGGGATACATACTGAGTTCAAGACCAGCCTGAACTACATAGTGAGATGCTATCTTAAAAAAAGGAAAAAAAGGGGCAGGGATTTAGCTCAGTGGTTCCACTGCCTGCCTCGAAAGCGCAAGGACCCAAGTTTGATCCTCGGTACCAAAAAAAAAAAAAAATACAGTATAATGTTTTTAGTGTTTCTTTTCAAAGCGTTTAAGCATTTTCATCTTTGTCCTTAGATGAAAAAGTGCTCTAGCTGGGCGTGGTGGCACACACCTGTTATCCCAGCCCTCCGGAGGCAGAGGCAGGAGAATCACTGAGTTCAAAGCCAGCTTGGGCTACATAGTGAGTTCAAGGGCAGCCTGAACTACATAGTGAGACCCTGTCTCAAACAAAAAGACAAAGTGCTCTAAAACCCAGGCACTCCAAAATTATTCTGCTCTTTTTCTGGTAAAGCCCAGAAACCAAAGAGAAATTCAGTGATACGTGACTACACAATCTAAAAACCACTGATTTCATAAAGGAAACCATAACCACACAAAAGATTTGTCCAAAAGACTGTCAGCATTGACGCTTATTCAATGGTATTCTCTCCCGCAGGTGCTAAGCTTCTGAGGACAGGTACTAAGTTCTACACCTTTGACCCTATTCTGCTCCTGACGTATATGATTCCACCTGAACAAGTACAAGGTGTGAGCAAAAAATATGAACATTTAAACTTTAAAGTGTAATTACACATAACCATTAATACTCCCCCTCACTTCAAACACACTTGTCCAATCGTTCTTGCTTCGTTTTCTGAAGTAGTTCTGGAAGTCTTCTTCCATGTCTTTTCCTGGCTGAATGTTCTGAAGCAATGAAAATTTTTTATGGCAATACAGTGTGTCCCCATCCACCTGTTCACCAGATCTGGATTCATGCTACTACTGGCTCTTCCTCAAAATCAAAATGACCTTGAAAGGTAAACATTTGAATCAATTCAGGACATCACAGCCAAGACAGCACAACTAAAGACATGAAAGAGAGCTTCAGAAAGAGGCAAGAATGACGGGATAAGTGTATTCAAATCGTTTTGAAGGGTATTAATAGAAATTTGCCTTTTACTATAAGTTTTTTTTAACATCCATTGCATTTTTTTAATCACACTGGGTATATTCAAAGAAAGGCAGACTCAGTCTCACTGTAGTTTGGGGTTACATATGACATTCAAGATGCAGCTAAATTGAATTCCACAAGAATCTAGAGGCCAAAAGCATTTTTGCCATACCAAAAGATACTACCTATAGGATTGAAGGGAAAGAATTTCTCAATTTCTGGAAAGGTGTCATCAGAGGCAGGAACAGAGCTTTGTGCTTTGACAATCTTCTCAGTCTTCTAGAACAACCCAAGAGAATACAGGTTAGTGAAGATCAAAGCTTTGGCAAATAAAAACTATAATAGGCCACAGGCCCTTTTCAATCATGACTACTTCACCACGTATTAAAATTGTTCAATTTCATATAGTCTTCTAAGAAGCCATAATTCTTAGTTCTCATGATTACACCTAAAACTTCATACATAAAATAATGTAATTCTAGTAGTATGGCTCAAAATTGAAGTCAGAAATTTAAGTATCAGCACCTGCCAGCCTAAGTGATCCAGAAGGCTGAGCAGAGTTCATTTGGAGCTAATCAACTCAATTATCCAAACCTAACAGAGGAGAAAATGGGCATGAGCTGCCCAGAACAGTAGCTAATTCTCCAAGCCATTTTTGGTTTGCAGAAGTGTGGGTTTTCCACCAATGCTACCTTAATTACTGTATTTGCTTGGTTAGCATTAACAAGTTTGTGCTCCTCAAACAGTTAAATAACAGCTAAAGACATTCCAGGACTTTTTAAGAATTGTCATGGGCCAAAATGGCAGCCAAATAGTCTCAATTTCTCTTGCTTCCTACATGCATACCTAGAGGAAAATCCTACCACAGAGTTTCCTATACTTCAGTTCCAGGGAACATCCTCATTATTTTTCCCGTATCGTTGCAGTACTTGTATTTAACATTTTTCTTTAATTCAATTCACTTTTTTTACAAAGGTATCCTTGTCCTAAGTGGCACTAGATGAAAACCACAGGTTTGATAGTTTGCTAATATAAACTAAACAAGATACTCAAGGTGTTAATCCATATGCTAACATCTTTCACAGAAAAGCGCTCTTTGTCTGGGATACACTGAGCTGTGAGATGAGAGTACTAGCGAACTGTCATCTTTTTTTTTTTTTTGGTACCGGTGATCGAACTGCGCATAGTCGTCTTAACAAGCTCCCGCTCTTTCTGCAAGGAGGGGAAGGGGGTGGTGCCTGAATAAAACCAGCAACTCGACCTCTTGCAACCATCCTCTTAGCACTTTATGTATCTGTAAATAGATACCACCCACTAATCTGCTTTTAGGCTCTAGTTAAGGACAGGTGAGGCAAAATTAAACATTAACTACCTCCAAGGTTTCCATTCTCAAGGTATAGTGAAGTCATTCGGATGATTCTCCTCTGCTCATCTGTTTGCCAACCCCCATTTCCCTTGCATTCAAAGGGGAAAGTCAGGCAAGAAGTCAATCATTTTAAGAGTCAAAAGAAAAAAGTGCTTTAGTGTGGTTCAGCTGCCTGCCTCCCAAGTGCAAGGTCCCGAGTTCAATCCCAGGTACCAAAAAAAAGGGGGGGGGGGCTGAAATGTTCAAACAGTGTGTTTACAGCCAACACTTACCTTTTTGGCAGAGAAGTTTGGTTTTTGCTTGAGGGGTCCATTGTTCTTCACTGATTTTTCCGTAGCTCTGTTAACAGTTCCCAAAGCCTTTCTGGCAGTTTTCGGTAAGGCTGGCGGAGCATTGAACATTTTGCCAACGTGCGACGCTGAAACCCGAGATTTCCCGTCTAAGGCTTTGCCTGCTGAAGAAAAGGTAGAACCCTAAGAACACTAGGCCAGGCAGCAACTTTGCAACTCGAATGACGTCTGTGTGCACGAACCTGACCTAACCCTCACCCCCAAACCTGATCAGCATCTTCGGCAGTGGCACAGTTCACTACTTTAAGGCACCTCATTAAAGACACTAAGCATGGAAAGACAACAAACCTGACTCTAACTGTCCACAAAGTGCACCCAAGATTGGCCGCGCTCCACACCACGCCCACGATCCATCCACAACACCGATGCATCTGACCGCGGTCTTTGTACTCACCAGCCCCAGAGCCCAGCTTCAGCCCATTCTTAGGGGCCACACGGGTGCCTGGTTCTCCGTTTTCCTTATCGACAAAGATCAGAGTCGCCATCCTGGACTGCACTGGGGGCAAGGCACATAAATCAGACAGCACACAGAGACTCCACCTGGCTCTGAAGCGGCCCAGTCAGTTCCGCGGCTCCACGCCCCCGCACAGCCGGCGGGCGGGGCCAGCACCCTCACTTCTCGCCGGGGACCCCCGAGAAGCCCGAGCCTCCCTGCGCCTCGCCCCGCCAACCCCCTTACCCACTTCGTTCCAACAGCCAATCTCAACCAAGACGCCGCCGCCAGCGACCCCACACTAGCGGTTTGAACCACAACCTACGATCCAATTGGCTCGTGCCAGTAGGCGGAGTCTGAGAGAAGGATCAATGAGGGGGAGCGAAGCCATCAGGCCCCGCCCACGGGTCTTTCTCCGGAAGTTTGTGACCGGGAAGGAAAAAAATTTTATTGTATAATATCCAAAAAACCTGAGAGGCTTTTTCCTCTATAATGTGCTGCATGGACTGAGGCACTGACCCAATAATTTTGTTTTATTGCATTACAGTCTTTTTTATTTAAATAGCCCCGTAGAAAGGATGGAAAATAAAATGGGAAAGAAAATTTTAACTGGGGACTGAACCCAGGGCCTTTGCAATGTGCTATATCCCTAGCCCATTTTTATTTTGAGATGGGGTCTCTCTAACTTGCCAAGACCAAGCTCCAACCTGTGACCCCCGCCTCAGACTCCCAGGGTGCTGGGATGACGATCGCGCCACCCCGAGGGCTTTCTGCCTGTTTTCAAATATTGTCAAAATGCGGCCAGTTGAAGCAAAGAATGGAGACTATCTGACCCTTCGCATGTTTCGTACAATAGTGATAAAGATCCTGCGCAGCCCTCAGTATGACCGACCACGAGGGACAGGGATGCCTGAATGGTAGTTGGTACAACCTCAGCAAAGCTTGCCATTACACTTGGAATAAAACCGCCCCATTTAGCCTGCCCGATCCAGTATTTCCCACCTTTCCCTCCTATCTCATTCTGACACCCTGCCCCTTCCTCCAAACGCTCCTCCTTAAAACCTCCGATTCTGAGACTCTGCATAATTTAATTCTGTCCACCTAGTAGTTCTCGCCATCCTCCAAGGGGTTTCTCTGAAATCAAAGGGGTCTCTTCCCAAAGAGAAGCGCTAAATAGAGCTTCTGTGAAGTGATACAAGAGATTTGGGCGTGCTAGGAGTGTAACATTTATTTTGAAAAGTTTCAGACACACAGAATAATATATAAGGGATGGTCAAGAAATATGGTAAAGCCGGGCGTGGTGGCGCAAGCCTGTAATCCCCACTTGGGAGGCTGAGGCAGGAGAATCGCTGAGAGTTCGAGGCCAGCCTGAGCTACATAAGTGAGTTCAAGGCCAGCCTGAAGTACATAGTGAGACCCTGCCTCAAAAAACAAACAAAAAAACAAAACAACAACAAAAGAAATATGGTAAAGTTTGAATTTTTAAAATTATTACAGTAAAAAACATGGCCATCAATCCCCTCAAATTTTCAAAATATTCCCCCTTACTTCAAATACTTATCCTATTGTTCTTAACAGTTTCTTTTACTGTTTCTTTTACTGTTTTTTAATTTAAACATTCATCATATTTTTATTACTCCTTGTATAATACTACAAAATGCAGGATTGATTTTTAAATTTATAACTAAGAAACATGATACTTCTAATTTTTACACCTCAAAAGTCTACAAAGACTTCAGCTCTCTAAATTTATCTTTCTTTTCCCCTTTCTGAGAAGTACTCTACAAAGAACATTTGAAAGGAGTCATTAATCATGGAACATGCAAATATAAAGATTTTATTGATGGGCCAGGGATTTAGCTCAGTGGTTCCGCCACCTGCCTCGAAAGCACAAGGTCCCGAGTTCAGTCCCCAGTACCAAAAAGAAAAAAAGACTTTATTGAACCCAGGACTTCACACATGCTAGGCAAGTGTTCTAGCACTAAGCTACAGCCCCACCCCTTTTAACTGTGAGACAGAGCCTTGACAAATTGCTAAAGCTGGCCTCCAACTCACAATACTCCAGCGTCAGCCTCCCAAGTGCTAAGTAGGACTGCAGGCAGGTGCCAACACACCTGGCTCATTGCGTGCCTTTGCACTGAGCTATAGCACCAGCCCTTTTAATTTTTTTTATCTTGGAACATGGTTTTGCTAACTCATTATTTTGTGCAGCTTGGGCTCAAATAAGCCTCCGGCCTCATCCTCCAAGAGTGCTGGGGTTACAGGTATGCGCTACCAGCCAGGGCTAGACTTCTGTTAAAATCTATCATTTTAGGGCTGGGGATTTAGCTCAGTGGTTCCGCTGCCTGCCTCGAAAGCACAAGGACCCGAGTTCAATCCCCAGTACCAAAAAAAAAAAAATCTATCATTTAGAAGCAAGGCATAGTGGCACATCCCTGCAAGCCCAGCCCTCTGGGGGGCTCAGGGAGGATGATCAGGAATTTGAGCCCAGCCTGAGCAATTTAGCAACGCAGATCCTTATTTTAAAAGGTAAACTGGGTGTGGCGGTGCACGCTGGTAATCCCAGCACTCAGGAGGCTGAGGCTGGAGGAGCACCATGAGTTCAAGGCCAACCTGAACTACATAGTGAGAGCCTGTCTCAAAAAACAAACAAAAAGGGAAGAAATCAAATCAGTGTGTTCGAAGCAAAAGGGAATATCTTGAGGGAGATTAACAACAATGAGCCTTTCACTGTGATAATTTTTAATTTAAAATAAAAGAGAAAAGATAAAGACTCATGTATACCTTTATTGTCCTTTCCTTGCCTTTATCCCCTCAGCCCCTTTTCCCCTGTATTTCCTTCTTAATTTCACATCTTCATGCTCTATCATCCATCAGCACAAAAAGCATTAACTGTTAAGACTAAATCTGTACGGCATCTACAGCTTCCAGTGGGTATTCTCTATCTCCCAAGGTTTTGAGGTACAGGGTTTATGACCCTTCAGGGTCCCCCCCCCCCAGTTTTGTTTTTTTGTTTTGTTTTGGGGGGGTTGGTACTGGGGATCGAACTCGGGACCTTGCACTTGTGAGGCAGGCGCAGGAACCACTGAGCTAAATCCCCAGCCCTCAGTTGTTTTTTTTTTCACCAACCGGAAGCACTGAATTTCCCAAGATCACACAGCAGCTGTAAATCATAACCACTCTCTTTGGCCATGCATTTCTAATGAATGAATCCCCAGGCCAACTTTGCTGTTCTGGCCTATTACAGGGGAATAATTTATCCAATTTCTTACCCCTCATTTGTAATATCACTCAGTTCCTAGTTAATTCAGTTTCTCCTAATCTAGCTGTACAAACAGCTAGCCATCCAGAACTAATCTCTGCTTTCTTAGTCCCTCTTGAAAATCTTCCACAGAGCCTCTAAACCTTAGAAAATATTTCTTGCTATTGTCCAGCACATACAGTGCCTCTGGGAAATATGCTGTCTGGCTTATGCCTGGCTAATTAGGCCTGCACACTCATAAGCAAATTTTGGGAATTTTTTTAAGTGGAAAATACCAAATTCTGAGTGATTGATTCATGGACTCTACTCTCAGGCTCTGTCTCTTGACTCTTCCTTTATCTACTACCTTGTAAAATCAAAATTAATGTCTAAATTCCTAAACTCCAGGCACTGCAAATTCTTTTTAAAAGGGAGTGGGGGGTTCTATTACTTCTGGACTCTTATTGAGGCAGGGATGTTAGCTATTTTAAGTATTATATTTGAACCAAATATGTTATGGGAGGAATAATGTACAGAACAGACAGCACGCACACACACACACATAAATAATAAGAGGAAATTCTGCCACCAAGAGTACTGCTTCTTTCCCAGTGTTTAATCTCATCTGTATATTTTCAGTGTGGGGGATGTGGCTCAGTGGCAAAGCCCTCGCCTGCCCTGGTTTGAGGCCATGGGTTCCAAGCTCACCACCACAAAAAAGAAAACCCAAAAATAATCCTCATATGTGTATTTTCAAAGAACTGTGATGCCATAATGCTATTGTTCTTCAAAATGGAAACTGCTTTATCGTATTTTTTCAATTGATAAAATCCAAGTTCACAATTACCAAAACATGCTCTGTCTTCTCACAGCTCCTGGTATTCCTTTCGTAGCAACTTTCACAACTGTAAATTATTTCGGTAATTATTTGAGTGCCTTTTTCACTCTGTTCGATGTAAATTCGAGAAATGACACGTGTGTTCACACACATTCCCCCAGCGTCTGGCTACTAATTAATACAAATCTGTTTGTTACTTAATATATCACAAACTTTCTCATTCACTTCACAGTCTCCTAGTGAAACTTAAGCTGTTGTTTGTTTTAGGTACTAAACTTTTTTGAGGAGTTTTTCGTCCTAATAGTCTGCGATTCTAAAAGGGGGAAAAAAAATCTTCCTAATTAGGAGCTGACCAACCAAACATACCTACCTCACCGCACAAAGTATCGAGGCAGGCACAACTCTAATCTCCGACGCTGGAGGGCGCCAGAGAGCCACGCGCCACTACTTCTTAGTCCGCATGCGTCATATGTCCGGAAGCTACCGCAGTGGCTGCTGGGAGAAGGCAGAGAGCCCGGAAGTAAACATTCACGGTTTAACTACCTTTGCGTTGCATGGTTTTGGAGTCGGGGCGGCTCAATTGGGTAAGAAAATATTTTGAGAATTTACGGACAGGAGAGAGGGGGAGAATCTAGGGAACCTTAGGAAGTGGGTCGAAGGCTCCTGATTATTAGATATATCCTTCCCGGGCTGATGAACCTCTGACAGAGGAAGGACTGAGGACAAACAGGCGAGAGAGAAGCTGTTGTCCTAGGACGCAGGCCTGGTACTTGTGTCCATCCAGACCAAGCCGGCGTCTTCAAAGAGTAGGGTTAAGTGGGAATATCCCTTTTGTCGCAGTGTTTTGAGGGTTCTGAGTGGTCCTTCACCCAAGTTGACAGTCTGTTTCCACTGCAAAATGGAATTGTTTAAAAAATTAGATGAGGGCCGGGGATTTAGCTCAGTGGTTCTGCCGCCTGCCTCTCAAGCACAGGGTCCCGAGTTCGATCCCCGGTACCAAAAAAAAAAAAAAAAAAAACCGACAAAAATCCCCTGTATAGGGGCTGGCAATGTAGCTCAGTGGCACAGCACTTGCCTGGCAAGTGCGAGGTCCTGAGTTCCATCCTTGGTACCAAAGAAATTCACTGTATATTTTGATAACCCCTTGTATTGTGGCTGTTAAACTGGATCTTGGAAATTGATATGGTTTAGAGTGATAAAGAATGCTCCAACTAATCCTTGAGGAGTTTAACATTAAATAACTGGGTAATGGGTGAACCTGCAAAGGAGACCAGAGGAGCAGTGAGAGAGACGCATGAAGAACCCATGGAGTGAGCCA